ATGTGTTTTAAAGTAATTCAATATTAATATTAATGGAAAAATATAAGTAAATAGGAAGATTGTACGGGCGAATTCTGATATCTCCAAAGTGAATTCCGGTGTATGGATTTGGTCAAATAATATTGTAAGTTAAAATTAGGACTGAAATGCTGATAAAACAGGCTTTTTGGTGAATTACAAATAGGTTCTACACATAATTGTTTTAAAACATCTCAAATTTGACGAGTTACGAGATTTTCTTCACATGTCGAGTAATCTCCCTTTAATGGTCAAAATATCGGATATATACAAATCCTATTAAATGTAAATATTGTCAATGTTAGGGTGACCCACCATTAATAAATATCTCCATATATCTCAACAATTTCGCCACAATATTTATATATATGCCAAGCCTGAAATCAGTTTCACACAATTATAGTCACTAAATAAACGATCATGTTGTACTTAATAAGCTATGACCATTAATCATCTATAAATAATAGACTGAAAACTGGTTCCATGTGTCGTCCATAACACCCAGACACTTTTGAGTAAAAGATAGGTTACGTGCCCTTGTTTTGAAATTAGTCTCGCTTAACCAGTCTATCGACCATTCTAGGGCTGATTGACAGGTCGGGATAATCAAGACTACTTTTTTACGAAACATAACAGAAAGCTAGAACAAGAAATTGAATTTAGAAATGAGCACGTTAGCTAGCTCAACAATTGTTTTAAGAAGCTTGTAAAAGTAAAATGAAACTACTGCTAGTATCATGTTCCTGTCTAACCCGAGTGTTTCTGAGATATTATTTGTACTAAACCAAAAGATGCCGCTCTTAACGGTACAGTTAATGGTAAAGCGATTTAAAAAATGAAACGAACGTAATTTCTAAATCTGCTGTAATAACCAAGAAGCTTAATTTCACTGCTATTCAAAATCGTCAACAATAATTTTTTTACGGCTGTAATAGTTGATAGATTTGTAGAGAATTGCACGTGCCATGGCTATTTATAGTATCATACTGTCAGAAAGTTGGCCTCAACACGGCGAATGTGCACGCTTCAGTGGTAATCTCGAACTATCAGCGGTGGACTGTATTTCTGTAGGTGCGTGGGCCACCCTATCAATGTATAAAGTGACAAATCACGTACAATCACAACATAATAAACTATTATAACATGAGAATACTCTGAACAAAGACAATTAATTGTCAGCGGGACTTATTTAAATTGATTTCATTTATAAATTTATTTCAAAACAAGTTACGATGTCGATGACAGAAAGTGACAATCGACACAATTTGCAAGTATAAATAAATAAATATAGCTATAATATTAAATTGTTTATTGCACTATATATACCATAATATGTTTCATGCATATAATTACTGTTTTAATAAACTATTAATCAATCTCTACGAATTGCAACGAAAGTATACGCAAGTTTCTTGTCAACAAAAATCACATACACGAGTTATCTCCCGTGAACCTCCGATTTGGACAAAAACCAGTCACGCTTCTTAAACTCATACTAAATTGTTATTTTGTTTGTCTGCGATATCACCTCGGTGGAAGCGGACGTAAAATACAACTAACTCATCATGTTATTTTGTGTTTCCACAGTCAATATTTTTGAAGTTATTGGTTGTTATTTTGGAGTTATTGGGTAACTCGACGCAAATTGTTTTTTAATGTTATTTTGGAGTTCGGCCTATTGCTGTATTGGGTAATACGACGCGCCCTACGTTATCATAACCATGACGATGATGCATATATTTGAAATGAATTCCGGTAGTCTTTCAAATAAATACACACACGGGGCCTTTATTTGGCCTGTGGAGATATCAAAATAGTAATTAGTTACATTATAATGTATTATACATTTAAAATAAATTAGTTTTGTGGGAGGAATCGGGGGGTTTTGGAAGTGAATTCGGGTGAATTCCGGTGATTATATGTGATTCTGGTGATTGTAAATGAATTCCGGTGAATTCCGGTGATTATAGTCGGGCCCGGTAACACGACGCGCCCTACGTTATCATAACCATGATGCATATATTTGAAATGAATTCCGGTAGTCTTTCAAATAAATACACACACAGGGCCTTTATTTGGCCCGTGGAGATATCAAAATAGTAATTCGTTACATTATAATGTATTATACATTTGAAATAAATTAGTTTTGTAGGAGGAATCAGGGGTTTTCGAAGTGAATTCCGGTGATTATATGTGAATTCCGGTGATTGTAAATGAATTCCGGTGAATTCCGGTGATTAGTCTGGCCCGGTAACACGACGCGCCCTACGTTATCATAACCATGATGCATATATTTGAAATGAATTCCGGTAGTCTTTTTGAAATAAATTAGTTTTGTAGGAGGAATCGGGGGTTTTCGAAGTGAATTCCGGTGAATTCCGGTGATTATATGTGAATTCCGGTGATTGTAAATGAATTCCGGTGAATTCCGGTGATTAGTCGGGCCCAAATATGAGGTATTAAACTGAATGAAAAATAGCCCAGAGACCATGGTCCGATAGGGACGAAAAGGGGCGGGGTTTATGCTTTTTAACCAATCGGATGTGAGAAGTAGTTATATCTGCGGATCCTCGCGGGTTGTTTCAAAACATAAATGAATAAGTATTATTTGAGATATTTTACTATTTATCCGACGTTAAACATCAACGAGAAAAGAAGGCACTGATATTTAATTATTCTGAATGAACAGAGTGAAACCAGTGAGTGACTTTACATTACTGGCTTATTTTGAAATAACAAATCGCTCGTGCTGGAACTCAAATCTCCAACTAAAAAGTAAAATGTTACACAGTGTACAGGGAATGGGATAGCCTACAATTATAACTTATAAGTTAGACATAATGGTGGTAAAGCCTATAAACGTATGTTAGAACATAAAAGTATAGATTGTATTTACAGGCATGAAAATTTTTATTAGACCGCACCATGCATTTACACAAAACTTCTCTTGCTCTTTATTAATACATGAGACCATATCGTGTAATATACAGACCATAGCCTAATACCTTGCAGATCTTTCAGTGTTAATACATGAGACCACATCCTATAACAGAAGACCTTGATGATATCTTGAACAGTTTTAATGTACATGGGTCCTTTTCCTATAACACTTGAGCCCATAATGATAATGTACCTAGGTTGGTCTTTTTAATAGTTTTAATACATGAGACCATACCCTTTAACATACGACCACATGAAAACATGATGGTCTCTTTAACAGTTTTAATTACATGAGACCATATCCTATAACGCAAGAGACCATAATGTACCTTGATGGTCCTTTTAATAGTTTTAATACATGAGACCATACCCTTTAACATACGACCACATGATAACATGATGGTCTCTTTAACAGTTTTAATTACATGAGACCATATCCTATAACACAAGAGACCATAATGTACCTTGATGGTCCTTTTAATAGTTTTAATACATGAGACCATACCCTTTAACATACGACCACATGATAACATGATGGTCTCTTTAGCAGTTTTAATTACATGAGACCATATCATATATCGCAAGAGACCATAATGTACCTTGATGGTCCTTTTAATAGTTTTAATACATGAGAGGCTACCCTTTAACATACGACCACATGATAACATGATGGTCTCTTTAACAGTTTTAATTACATGAGACCATATCCAATCACACAAGAGACCATAATGTACCTTGATGGTCCTTTTAATAGTTTTAATACATGAGACCATACCCTTTAAAGCCCCAATAACACTCTTGTTGTAACTGAATAATATGTCCCAATATGAGACCATATCCTTTAACACAAGAGACCACAATGTACCTTGATGGTCCTTTTAATAGTTTTAATACATGAGACCATACCCTTTAACATACGACCACATGATAACATGATGGTCTCTTTAACAGTTTTAATTACATGAGACCATATCCTATAACACAAGAGACCATAATGTACCTTGATGGTCTCTTTAATAGTTTTAATACATGAGAAGATACCCTTCAACATACGACCACATGATAACATGATGGTCTATTTAACAGTTTTAATTACATGAGACCATATCCTATAACGCAAGAGACCATAATGTACCTTGATGGTCCTTTTAATAGTTTTAATACATGAGACCATACCCTTTAACATACGACCACATGATAACATGATGGTCTCTTTAACAGTTTTAATTACATGAGACCATATCCTATAACACAAGAGACCATAATGTACCTTGATGGTCCTTTTAATAATGATTATCATTATGGGCTCAAGTGTTATAGGAAAAGGACCCATGTACATTAAAACTGTTCAAGATATCATCAAGGTCTTATGTTATAGGATGTGGTCTCATGTATTAACACTGAAAGATCTGCAAGGTATTATAATAAAAATTTTCATGCCTGTAAATACAATCTATACTTTTATGTTCTAACATACGTTTATAGGCTTTACCACCATTATGTCTAACTTATAAGTTATAATTGTAGGCTATCCCATTCCCTGTACACTGTGTAACATTTTACTTTTTAGTTGGAGATTTGAGTTCCAGCACGAGCGATTTGTTATTTCAAAATAAGCCAGTAATGTAAAGTCACTCACTGGTTTCACCCTGTTCATTCAGAATAATTAAATATCAGTGCCTTCTTTTCTCGTTGATGTTTAACGTCGGATAAATAGTAAAATATCTCAAATAATACTTATTTATTTATGTTTTGAAATAACCCGCGAGGATCCGCAGATATAACTACTTCTCACATCCGATTGGTTAAAAAGCATAAACCCCGCCCCTAAAGCATAAACCCCGCCCCTTTTCGTCCCTATCGGACCATGGTCTCTGGGCTATTTTCCATCCAGTTTAATACCTCCAAATATCGTTGTATTTATGAAGCTTTCATATGAAAGCTTATTATTTTTGTTAAAGTTGTGGTAGAGTGATTTTATTTATTTTATGGGTATTTAAATATGGTCACAATACTAATTTAATCTTAGATAATATGTTACACATCACTGCCTCTTTAAGCTATCCTATTCTATACAGTCTTTCTACAGGTTTCCAATGAGTACCAGTTCACCCATCTCACTGGTAGGTTATTTCAACTTTGACCTGATGCCAAGATTGTCTGGCCGAACTATAATACTATTATTAATAGGCCTATCGAAGATGTTTATTTATTATGTCAGGCCTACTCGCTCCAGTTTCTGAATCATGTCGAGTGGGCCAGGGTTTAGGATCACTTTGCCACTTCGGGCAAATAACACATGTATCTATCGACGAAGATACGCTTCACAGAATAGAACTTAGTGAAGGATTATACTTGTCTTTATGTGTAGCCCTGATGCCTACCAATCTGCATGCATGTACTGTAAGGCCTATTGCTATTATACACGTTATAACTTAGTTCTAGTGTTAATGTCTCTGAACATCATTGACATACTTATTCCACCAGCTACCTGTTAAAATACTTTACTTTATGTTATGAGGATTTTTGCAGTGTCTATAAACAAATACAATTTTATTTTAATAAACAAATTTTGTAATTCCAGATTTCCAGACAAGAAAAAACATCCTAATTTTAAAACCTGGATGACTAACTGACTAAGTCGTCGGGAACGTGAGGCAGGTTCTGGATCTGTTCTGTGCAGTGACCACTTCACAGAGGATAATTTTGACCGCACTGGTCAAATTGTCCAGTTGAGGGATGGTGCTATGCCCACCCTTTTTAATATTCCAGCACATCTTCAGGTAGGCTAGCCTAAGTTATTTTTTTTGCTCTTACTCTAACATTTTGAAAAAAGTTATGCCAGTTAATTATTCGTCAGTGAAAGATAAAAATAATTCACATCTTATTTGTTATTTTTTGCTCTTAGATTTTGAAAAAAAAGTTATGCCATTTAATTATTCTTCAGTGAAAGGTAAAAAAAATTGTTTGTTAATTAATTTTTTTTTATATTTTAGCTTCCAAGACTAAATGAAAGAAAAACTGAAAATTCGTTGAAGGTGAGAGAGTACACAAGGGCCACAAAAGATTTTCAAGAAGAAACTGTCCGAAGCATGAAACCTGATGAACATATAGAATCAGTTAGTAGCCTATATTTATAGTGTGTTCTTCAGCTTCTTGTACGAATGTTTTATTTAAATATTGAAGCTAATATATTTTATACGGTACCTAGCCCAGTTAACATTGATGGATAGATTTACGTAAAGTTTACGTCATTATGGTTAGATTTTGGTTAGCGTCCAATAATGGTAAAATTCTTTGGTTAAATTTACGTTACTTTTACGTCATAATGGTTATGGTTACTTTTACGTCAGAAAATGACGTAAATGTAACGTAAACTTTATGACGGATTACTAACCAATTTTTTTCCCTTTGAATACTTCTTGATTAAATAACATTACAAGTGTGTGCACATTCTAACAATTGATATATAGTCGGAATTCAGACATAATAATTATATATGTATTATTGGTTATAATTCTAACGTTAATCTAACGTAAATTTTACATCAGGTTTCTAACCGTTAGTTTATGGTTAGTTTTCTGACGTAAATCTAACGTAAGTTTTCTGACGTAAATCTAACGTTAGTTTTCTAACGTTAATATAATGTTAGTTTTCTAACGTTAATGTAATGTTAGTTTTATGTCATAATTTTAACCGTTAATTTAACGTTAGTTTTCTAACGTAAATCTAATGTTAATTTTATAACATAAATCTAACTTTAGTTTTCTAACATAAATCTAACGTTAGTTTTCTAACATAAACCGGATATTAGTTGTAAAACGTAAAACAAATGCCAGTTTAATGTCATGATACTAACAATTAAGGGCCTGACAAGACAGCTGTCTAGTCATTAAAATGGGTAAGACCCTGGCTCGCTAGCCTGGAGGTCGGGTGTTCGATCCCTGCATTAGCCGAGAAAGTTCATCCAGATTTCCGGCGTGGTTTCCCCTTGTCAGTGATGCAGGACGGAGAGCCTGACAAGGACAGCTGTCTAGTTGTTCAGATGGGATAAAAAAAAACCGAGGTCCTGTGTACACATTGGCATGCATGTAAAAGATCCCTTGACAGTTGGAATTCGATATAAGAGTAGGCCGTAGTGCCACTGTCGGGGCAAAATTTCCCTCATAACACACTGTATGGTGTATGGCCATCTTCATTAGCCCAGTTCGGAGCAGAACAGTTGGACGTTAAACCCCATTTCATTTCATTACATTTTGTATCCATTTCTAAGTGCCCAAGAATAGAGATCTAGCTCCTTTAATAGTTGCGGTCTGTAGGTGACACACAAAGAGAAAACGAATGAATGAATGATCTACTCTCATTTCAAATTCCAAATGTCAAGGGTTCTTTTACGTGCACACCCACGTGATGGACTAGACACTGTTTTTTTGAGGTCCTCTGTCCTACACCACTACTAACAAAGGGAACTTTCTCGACCAACATGGGGATCACGTTGGCTAAGTGGGTAAGACGCTGACTCGCTAGCCTGGAGGTCGGGTGTTCGATCCCTGCATTGGCTGAGAAAGTTCATCCAGATTTTTCTGCGTGTTTTCCCCTTGTCAGTGATACAGGACGGAGGGCCTGACAAGAACAGCTGTCTAGTCAGGGATGAAAAACTGAGGTCACGTGTACACACAGGAGTGCACATGAAAGATCCCTTGGTAGTTGGAACTTGATATAAGAGTAGGCCATAGCGCCGCTGCCTGGGCAAAATTTCCTTCATAGCATACTGTATGGCGTATGCTCGTCTTCATTAGCTCAGTTTAGGAGCAGAACAGTAGGACGTTAAACCCGATTTCATTTCATTTTTCTCGACCAACACGGAAATTGAACCCCTCATTTGCTAGCCAGTGTGTTACTAATTACTAGAGAGAGAGAGAGAGAGAAATGGGGTTTAACGTCTACTCGACACAAACTAGGTCATTTCGGGACTAACATATGGTTTAATTTTTATTTACATAATTCGCTTGCGCGTAGGGGTCTTTAGCAGTGGGAGAAAACCAGAGGTTGGACAGGCGACCCTACTCCTTGTCACGTACAACCGGGGATTCGAAACCACGCCAGTCAACTCAATGACAGACTTTATGATACAGCGCCTGCACGCTAACCATTCAGCCATCCAACCCCCCGTTACTAATTACTAAGTTTGTGAAATGTAGGTTTTTCCTCATGTAGGTTTGTCCTGATGAAATCGGTTTATTGTCCTACTGTTCTGCTCCGACTGGGCTAATGAAGACAGGTACATACCATACAATGTGCTATGAGGGAAATTTTGCCTACTAATATCGAATCCAACTGCCAAGGGATCTTTTCGTGCAAGCCAATGTATACATGGTACCTCGGTTTTTTGTCCCATCTGAGTGACTAGACTACTGTCCTTGTTCCTGCACCTCTGACAAGGGGAAACCATGTCGGAAAATCCTGATGAACTTTCTCCACCAATGCAGGGATCGAACATGTGCCCTCCGGATTACCGAGCCAGCATCTTACGCACTTAGCCACCATGGCTTTATCAAAATTAGTAATGAAGATGTGCTATGACAGAAATTTTGCCTGGACAGCAGCATTACCGCACTTACTAATGAAGAAGTGCTAGGAAAGACATTTTGCCTGGAGAGCAGCATTTCCGCATATAGTCATTACCAATAGTTCTAAGTGCACGCCAACCTGTAAAACAGGTCTTTACACACTTTTCCATCATTACCAATTACTAGTCTGCGGGTTCACTAGTCTGTGGGTGCACTAATCCGTGCATTCACTAGTCCACTAGTCTGACTCTATAAAATACTATAAATATGAGTATTAAAGAAACCCAGTAGATATGGTGACTGATATCACTCTTCGTAAGGCGATAACCCAACATCACGGCATTTTAACCCGAAATCACAACATTTTAACCATTATAGCATATGCCCTTCTTCATTAGCCCACTTGGAACAAAATAGTAGGATTTAAAATTCATTTTTATACTTTTCTGAACCAATCGGACTATTGAAGATAGTCATACGCAATGCAGAGTGCTATGACGGAAATTTTCTATGGACTGTGGCAGGGCGGAGGATCTGGCAAGGGATAAGGTATAGTTGTTCGGGTCATACGAAAAATCAAGTCCTCGTGTACATATTGGCATGCACGTAAAAGACACTCCGACAGTTGTAATTCAATATCAGAGTAGGCCATAGTGCCGCTATCCGTGCAAAGTTTCCGTTATAGTACACTGTATATAGTGTATGCCTGTCTTCATTAGCTCACTCAGAGCAAAACAGTAGGATGTTTAATCTCATTTAATTTTATTTAATTTTCCTACTTTTCTGCACCAATGGCACTATAAAAGATAGGCTGGCAAGCGGACGAGTGCACCCATTGACTATTGAGCATCATTTACTTGAAAACGTTGAGAGAACCCTCAACGAAATGTCGCTTTAATTAAAATAGTAATTGTGTTTTTTGTTGTATCATCGAGTCGAGTGAACGTTAAACCCCATTTCTCTCTCTCTCAATTTTGATACCCAAAAATTTGACAAAACAAATAATGATTGATTGTCGGAAACTGTTTCATAAAGCAAAGTTGTTCTCTACTAAAAGGTTATCACTGTCCAAATGTTCGGAGTAGTCCACACCTAGGCCGACTATGCATGAAGTGTTTTTATAATTAAATTTATTAAATATAGTACCTTGCATCAGTAAATATAAAATTAATGATCCTTTCACCAGTAAATATAAAATTCATAGGCCGACAATGCATTGTGTTTTTATAATTAAAGTTATTAAATGTAGTACCTTGCACCAGTAAATATAAACTTAATGATCCTTGGACCAGTAAATATAATATTCATGATCATTATTTATATAAGGCCTTCATCAACCTTGCACCAGTAAATATAAAATTAATGATCCTTGCACCAGTAAATATAAGGCCTTCATGTATGTTTGTACAAGTGTACATTCTTGGAATTGTATTACCATTAACAATATGGAGATCAATTATAATAACCTTTGGCCTTGTTCATGAATCCTTAAATTTTTGAAAATTTAGTTCTTAATATGAAACTATCTAAATAAAATATTGCTTAAATCAATGTGTGTTGTTAATGTCATTCAAAATGGCGGCTGTCTACATATACAATATATAAAATAGGTCATGAGTCGATTGTTGCCGTTTTTTTATTTCGAATTTAAAAGTTCAACACTTAATAATATAAATTGTAAAACCATATAAAAATAAAGGTTGGACCAAGACTAGTTCCATTTTTTTAAGTTATGAATCTGAAAAATAGATAATAATGACCCAGTCAATTAACATAGAGATCTACTCTAGCTATATGAGTCCATATATTTATCGTCTCTCGATAAAAGACCTATCTCTGAAAATTAAAATTACCCGATTTGATTATTCTTTTAATATAACGTAATCATGTAACCTCATATAAAATATGGTAGAGCGTATACAAACAAATAATATGAATAGATTCATTATCAGAAATATTACAGGCCTTTCAAACGAACAGTCGCCATTTTTAGACCTACATACATGTAGATGTACAAATATATTTTTATCGTCTCGGGCAAGGTCAAGGTCACGATCTGTTCACGGTTGATGATTGTGTTTAAATCGGTTTATATCATATTATTTCTATTCACATTACAATATTTTTTTATAGGTTACGGTTATTGTTGTTATTTATCAAAATTGCTTCAATTATTTATTAAATATTTTTTGTTTGTTCGTTTGACCGGAATCGTACGGAATTCTGGGATTTAAAATGGCGGCATAGGTTATTATTTTTCCCAAAGAAGAAATGATGCCGTGATTTAAAGTTAAATAAAGCTATTCCACACATACACACACGATTTTGGATTCAGCAAAGTAAAGTTGAAGGTAAGTGCACTTTTTATGCGAACTTCCGTTGACAGTATACCGATAGATCTAATGTTGATAAAAAAAATAATCTGTATTTGTTTTTAACACGATGCAGTTACATTGTCCGTAAACCATACTATTCATAAACAAAATCAACATTGCTTTAAGTTATCGAAAGTAATACTGGTTCTAAAATTGTTTTTAAAAAAT